TGTGTGTGTGTGTGTGTGTGTGTGTGTGTGTGTGTACTGTCAAATTGGATCTGACTGGTACAGGAGACTGCTCCTCCTTCTCCAGCAAAGCATGAAGTAGAGTCTGGGTTTCCCCCCGCCCAGGTGCCTGTCGGGGCCTGGGTTTCAGCTGTCCACACCACAGCAGTGGGCAATGAGCTTAAAGCCCCTGATGGCTCTGGGTGCTGACTCTCACCAGTGGCTATGGATGAAGTCACAGGCGATTTTCAGCCAGCGCCGGAAGTCTGGTATTTTTTATAAATTTGTATTTTGTTCCACATTTTTCTCCCAATCTATTAGGAACCTTCTATTATGATTTCTTTCAGAATGGGCCACATCGTCGCTGGGCACCATCTAGTTCTTCTGGTCTCAGGATCATGAAGACTGAAGTTGATGTGGCCCATTAGTCCTTTGGACTAGTAGTCTTTCATTTTATTCCCTTTTCTTTGCTCCAAATGGGAAGAAACAAATAATTGCACCTTATATGGCCACTCTCAAGCTTTTATGATCCCAGTAGCTACTCACCAAAGTAGGAGATAGAATATAGTCATTGTAGACTGTGCTGTGATGTCCAAGACTATGAGCTTGAACTCCCAGGTCCAGTGATTCATTCTTTCGGAGTGTTTGGTTATGGTTAAGTTGTTGTAATTTTCTCCCTTATGTGTGCTCCTATATACATGGATCTATTTACAGCATATAAAGATATACATATAGAAATATTGTCTTCTAAACCTATAGGTTGTGGGTGCCGTTTCTTTCATTTATACATACCTGATTTTTTAAATTTTTTTATCATACCTGTTCATTTTACCTGTCCACTTGTGAATCCATTCCTAGATTAATGTCTTTTAGTACTGATAACAACAGACACCAATGTTATCTGTAGTGGAAGCACGTCTTTATATAAATCACATATGTAAGAATATCTTTAAACTCTTAGAAATTAACATACTATGTAAAAAGTGGGTTTTTTAAATGGTGTTTGAGAAAGAAAATAAAATTGTTGATCGTTTTTTTCAAAAAATTAGGAGGGAAAAATATTAGGGGCAGGGAGAAAGTGAAACAATGAATGAATGGAAATCCAAAGTCTCTGTAAATGTTCATTAAAATTAATTTTAACAAGGAAAAAAGAAATAGAAAAGGAAAATACAAAATGGGGGACTTAAAAATAATAAATAAAAGGGAGGACTTAAAAATAATAAATAATTAGGTCGAGAAAAGGGATTCAACCTTGATCCACACCTTTCCTGATATATTTTTTTTAAAAATGAGTTTTAAAAAAATTTTATATTATAAAAATTCCTCCAAAGATATTTTACTAATTTTCATCCTTACTAAACATGTATAAAGGTACCTGTTTCTCCATAACCTACTTATCATGTTATTTTCTAAACTTTTCTGATCATTGACAGTCTGGTAAATGAAGAAAACAACAACAACAACACAGCACTGTCCTGTTGTTGTTGTTGTTGTTAGGTGTCACTGGGGCAGTGCAGACTCAGGACAACCCTGTAGACAACAGAGTGGAGCCCTGCCCTGCCCGGCACCATCCTCAGTCTCCTCAACACACTCAAGCCATTGTCACAGTCACTGTGTCAGTCCATCTGGTTGAGGGCGTCCCTCTATTTCATTGACCTTTCTACTTTTCCCAGATGCTGTCTTTTGCCAAGGGCTTTCTGACAGTGTGCCCAAAGTATGTGAAGCTGTCCTTTTCTTAAAGGGGTAACCTGGTTATACCTCTTCCAAGGCGGATTTGTTCTTTCAGTAATCCATGATATAAAATCAGTACTCTTCTCCAACACCACCATCCAAAGGCATTCATTCTTCCTCAGTCTTCCTTATTCTTTGTCCAACTTTCACATGCATGTGGAGTAATTAAAAATGCCATGACTTGGGTTACATGCCCTTTGAACTAACACCTTCATTCTTTAAAACACTATGCAGGCCAAGCTAAATATGGCCATGAGCCAGAATCAGCCTCATGGGTTGTCAGTTTGCAACTCTGACCTAGGTTCTAATGACTACTATTTTCCTACAGATGTGAACAATAGTCACTCCATCAGCCAGGCCAATGGCAGCTCCAAGGCTATCGCTGGATACAGCTCATCCAAGATCCAGAACCATTGCCAGGAGCTATACTATCAAGTAGTGCCAACAGGTGAGTCCCCACTTACTGAGGTTCCCACTTCTTTGTGCCATGCTCCCACCCCAAAAAGTCCTGAGGCCCTAAAGAATTTACTTTTTTAGCTAGATACTTTTAACACTGAGTCTTTTTCTTTGTCCTTCCATGTTTCACTCCACAGGAACACTCACCTGCACAACTCAGGAGACCTGCAAGGACAGACACAATAGGGAGGAAGCCCCTCAGTGTGTGCCTGGTGAGTGGTGACCTGCACAATGCTGTCCTTATGGCCATTTCCCAAACTTCGCCTGTAGCTGGAACCTGTGGGAATGAGCAGGAGAGGAGAGATAGATGGGGTTCAAGGAAAACCCCTTGGGATAAAGAGTGGAAATAGAGACAAAAGGTGAGAAATAAAAGGAGGAACAAGAAGGCCCCCAAAAGAAGCATGATGTTCTCCCTTGTTCTTCAAAGGTCAAAAGGTATTTGAGAACATTAAAGATTGGAGGAAGTTAAAGGTTTCTATAAGCTGTTGTGGTGGCTTAGTGGTATGGAGTTGTGCTGCCAACCCAAAGGAACACAGTTCAAATATACCAACTACTCCACAGGAGAAAGATGGGCAATCTCCTCCCATGAGATGATGGTCCCAAACAACATAACACATATTGTTGCAGGGAGCTCTGGTGGCCTCGTGTGTAAGGAGTTGCATGGCCAATGCAAAGGCATGTGATGTGAATCCACCAAGGATAAGCCATCTCCCCTTGTATGATTTACAGCCTCTGGAAGCCCACTGAAGGGTCAGCTATGTGTTGGTTCCAACTGGAGAGCACATAACAACAACAACATACCATAGTATGTTCCTTTTTAGACTGGATAGATTTATCACTTTTTATAATCCATTCATCAATTGATAGGCATTTGTGTGCTTTGGGTGCTTTCTCCTTTTTAGCTATTATGACTAAGGCAGCTGTAAGTGTGTAAGTGTGCATGAGTGTGTGTGTGTGTGTGTGTGTGTGTGTGTGTGTGTGTGTGTGTAGGTGACCTAGTACCAAGGGAGCTGAGCTGCTGACTCAAAAGCCACACCTCTCTGGTGGTTCAAATCCACCAGTGACTCCTCTGGGATAGGGGAAGAGGAAAGATGGGCCATTTCCTCCCATGCAATTTATAGCTTGGAAAACCAAATGGAGAGTCAACTAAGAGTCAATTACAACTTGAGGGCAATAAAAAAAAGAGAAAAAGGAAAGATAGAAATGTCCCTAGGTGATGCAAATGGTTTATTCTCAGCCACTAAATAAAAGGTTAGCAGTTTCAATCCACCCACCAGCACCTCAGAACAAAGGCCCTATTGAAAGCTGTAAGGAGAACACACACAGGGTCACCAGGAGTCAAATCAACTCAACAACAAAGAATATGGGGTTGTTATATGTCTTGGAGAGGATGAAACCAAGTCTTTCCTTGGAGACTAGGGTCTTGAAGCTCCACCTCACTTACTTTGGGCTCATGGCCAGGAGGACATCATGCTTGGAAGGGTGCAGGGGACAGCGCACGAGAGGGAGACCCCGGAGGAGATGGACTGATACAGTAACTGGGGTGATGGAGATTGTGTGTCAGAGTTAGTGAGACTGGGTCAGGACAGGGAAGGATTCAGAGCTGCTGTACTAGGGTCGCTATACATTGCAGGCAACTCAATGGCACATAAACAATAACATACTATGACAGGTTTGGAAGCAGGAGTAGCATCCACTTCCTACATAACATGCCTCCAAAAACCCTGTGAACTTCGATAAATGTCAATAGTTGTAGAGGGGCTTCAGGCCTTTTGTTCATAGGGTCACTATGAGTCATGCTCGACTCAAAGGCAACCAACAACAAAAACATATGACTAAGAATGATAGCCTAGTGGATAAGGAGTTGCGCTGTCAACCCACAGACAGCCAGTTCAAATCCATCAGCCGCTCTTTGTGAGAAAGATGGACAGTCTATTTCCATGTGATTTATAGCCTCTGGTAGTCTGTTGGTAGGTCAGTTATGAGTCTGTTTCTATTGAATGGCAGTGAGGCTTTTGCTGAAGAGTGATGATGTAGCCTGTAGTGTGTTGCACTGCGAATCAAAAGGCTGCACATCTCCAGTATCAATCGCACCCGTGGTTCTGCAAGAGAAAGATTTAGCAAGTGTCCTCCAGTTAAATTTTACAGACACAGAAACCAAATAGAGGGTCGCTAGGAGTCAAAATTGACCCAATGGCAGTGAGTGACTGAAAAATGAAATTGTTGGGTTTTGTGATAACTCTATGTTTAACTTCCTTAAAAACTGGCATATTGTTTTCCAACATGTCTGTAACATTTTACATTCCCCCAAGTAATATGTGAGAGTGAGAGTTGACAATTTTTAAAGTCCAGTTTTTAAATTGAGCATTGCTGTCCTAACCCAGTCTGAGTGAATTTTTCAGACTTCGCACCTGGTGCACAGAAATCTTTACGGGCAGCCTGAAGGTCCCTAGTGCTTTGGGAGTGGTTGTGAATGAGGAAATGTGAATGAAGAGGGTAGGAAAGGTTGAGAATGAGGAAATGACACCAAAAACAGAGATAAGAGGGTCTGAAAAGAAACTGTGCCTGCTGCTTGATTTTTCCCCAGGATGGTCCCACAAGAGGAATCTAAAGATAGGTGAGGAGGAAGAAGGGGAAACCCAGCCTTCATCTGTGCTCTCCACCCCTCAGTTCACTGTGCTGACTCTCTGTAGGATCTCTACTCAGTATTCTCTCACTCAATTTGCTGCTGTTGTCTGTGCATTTAGTCCACAGCTGGGAGTCTGCATCAGAGTGTAGAATCCTTCTGATCCAATGCAGGGCAGCTCCTGAGATCTTCATTATCCAACCTACCCAGACAATACTTCACAGGAAGGGGTCTTTAATAAATATATCTTAATATAGCTACGACCTTCATCCTTACCTCTCTTCTCTCCAGTATGTGGGCGACCAGTCACTCCCATCACCCAGAACCAGGAGGCCTTTGGTTCTTCCAGAGCTCAGCTGGGCAGCTTCCCCTGGCAAGCCTTCACCAGCATCTATGGCCGTGGAGGTGGCGCCCTGCTGGGTGACAGATGGGTCCTCACTGCTGCCCACACCGTCTATCCCAAGGACATTGTCTCCTCCCGGAAGAACAGGAGTGTGCATGTGTTCCTGGGCCACACAAGCATAGATGAGTTGCTGAAACTGGGAAACCACCCTGTCCGTCGCGTGGTTGTTCACCCAGACTACCGTCAGAATGAGTCTCACAACTTCGATGGGGACATCGCTCTTCTGGAGCTCCAGCACAGTGTCTCTCTGGGCCCCCACCTCCTCCCGGTCTGTCTTCCCGACACTGAGACCCTCTACCGCAGTGGTCAGTTGGGCTTTGTCAGTGGGTTTGGCATGGAGAAGGGCTGGTTAACTTCTGAATTGAAATACACACAACTACCTATAGCCGCTGGAGAGGCCTGTGAGGCCTGGCTCCGAGAGAAGCAGAGGATTGAGGTGTTTTCTGACAACATGTTCTGTGTAGGGGATAAGACGCGGGAGCAGACTGTCTGCCAGGGGGACAGTGGTAGCGTCTATGTGGTGTGGGATGATTATGCACATCGTTGGGCAGCCGCAGGTATTGTATCCTGGGGCATCGGGTGTGGCAAGGGATATGGCTTCTACACCAAAGTGCTCAACTATGTTGACTGGATTAAGAGAGTGATGGAGGGGAAGGACTGACCCTCGGTCACCTCAGCCATGGTGACCAGAGACTAGCACTGTGGAAGTCCAGTAAAGAGACCGTTGGAATTAAAGACAGAGAAGAGGAAGGAGCAGTCTCTATTTAAGTCACTGACGCAGCCACCAACAGTGAGAGCAATCTACTCCTCCCCTCTCGCCCGACACCAGGCAGGAGAGGCCTTCCCCAGCTCCTCATCCCCTGCCTCCTTCACATCTACACCGCCCCAGGGAGCCCTGTACAGCAGGGCTGATTTCACTGTGAGCTTCCTCCTCTTCATCTGCTGTTGATGCAACTGCTTCTACCCCACTTGTGTAACAGTCACCTTCTTACCGTCCATTCAAGAGGAGGTTGGAGGGAGTGGTCTGAACTGCCTTACATTTCTTGGCTCGAAAATCTTTTCAGTAGGCCTCTGGATTAGTCAATCCATTGATTTCACTGCTACCACAATGACAGGTGTGAGTATAGTTCAAAGAAAAGTTTGTTGTCAAATTCTAACTTGTAATGACTCCATGTATGTCAGAGTAGAAACCTTTTAGGGTTTTCAATGACTGGGGATTTTTTGGCTCTTGTTTTGTTTTTTTGTTTTTTTCAAAACATACATCACCAGACCTTTCTTCCAGGGCACTTCTGGGTGGGCTTGAATTTCTAATCTTCAGTTAGTAGGTCAGAGCATTAATTGTTTATATCTATGGAAGAATCTCTTTCTCATCTTTCATTCAAGAGCAACACAGAGAAGGTGATCTTGATTGAATTTCATTTCAGTAATATTTCAAAGCACCTTTAGTCGATTCTCAAATAACCAAACTGTTGGGCTCATCATTTACCACAACTTCTACATGAGAATTCTTCCCCACCCCCACCCCCATCATCTATCTGCCAGGTGCCTCATGTGTGATATTTCATTTAATCCTCACACTAAATTTGCAAAAACAAAACAAACCAAAAGAAGTCCCACTGCCTCTGAGTCGAGTCCAACTCAGCAATCCTCCATCCAGTTTCTGAAGATGTAAATATATTTTTAATTTATTATTAATTTCAATGAAAATTTAGAGACTTTGGATTTCCATTCATTCATTTTTGCACTTTTCTCCCCTCCCAACCCTCCCCACTAGTACACTACCCTCTTGGAAAAGTAAAAGAAAAATTATTTCATTGTTTTACAAACCCTCCCCCAGGTCCACTCCACTATGCAGCCTTCACTCTGGACTCCTGTCGTGACAAAAATACCTAATCACATATCCTTTTTAAACAGTTTTCTCCCTCATCTATTTCAATGCATTATACATTGTTAAGCCCATCGTTCTCAGTCTCCCCCCAACCCCGATGTCAATCCTGTTTTACAACAGTGGCACTATGCAGTATTTATTCTTCTGTAACTGAGATACTTCCCTCAGCATAATGTCCTCCAGTCACCCATTTTTAATAATATTGCATGAGCTCCTTGTTTTTCAATGCAAGGTAGTTCTCCATTGTGTGAATATACCACAGCTTCTCTATCCATTTGTTTGTTGATGGGCACTTAAGTTGTTTCCAACTCCTTGCTATTGTGAACAAAGCCGCAATAAACATGGGTGTGCAGATATCTGCTTGGATGTCAGTTATGTTCTCTTTGGGGCATATTCCCAGTAGTGGAATTGCTGGGTCCAATGGTATCTCTATATGCAACTTTTTAAGAAAGCGCCTCACTGCCTTCCACCGTGGTTGCACCATTTTACTCTCCCACCAACAATAAATAAGGGTTCCAGTTTCTCCATAACCTCGCCAGCATTTGTTGCTTGCT